AAAAAAAAAAAAAAACAAAAGCGCTGGAAAAAGATAACTCCGTTTATCTATCTTCCAACGGTCGCGCCGTTTTAGTAACTGCCTCTGTCTGAAATCATACAAAATCCCAAATTCCCAATTCACTGTCCAAATCCAAGTCTCCCCTTCAACGTTTCTTTCGTTCTAATGCTTCTTAAACACATTGATTCATACTCTCTTTTTTTTTTAAATATATATCGGCATACATTGATTCAAACGGTAATCTTCCATGTCAAACGACGAGGGCAATGAAGATGAAAAAGTAAATAACTTTTTTTTCCCCAAAATGTCGGTTTTTATTCTTCGTTTTTCTGATAATGTGATTGATATATCTTTGTTTTCTCTTATAATTGTAAATTAACTAGGTTGTTGTTGCGGAGTTCAATGTCTCAATGCACTGCAATGCTTGTGAAAGAACCGTTGCCAATGTCATTTCGAAGTTAAAAGGGGTGGAGAAGTTCACGACGGATATGAACCGACAAAAAGTGGTGGTGACGGGTAAGATTGATCCGAAGGAAGTGCAGAAGAAACTGAAGGAGAAAACGAGGAAGAAAGTAGAGATGGTGGTTGATAACGAGAAGGGAGAGAAAGCCAAAGAGGTGAAGAAGGGAGGAGATGTGGCGGCAGAGGAAGTTCCTAAAGCGCCAGTAATGACGCCGTTACTGCTTGGTTATGGTGAAGATAGTGATGCAGCATTTTGGATTTTCAGTGACGAAAATCCAAATGCATGTTCAATAATGTAGGGAGAGGGAGGGAAAGGGATGCACTGCAGACTTTTATGGGCATGTTTTGATTGTAGATCTAGTACGTAATGGACTCCAATTTCTATTTTTTTAATATTTTTCTAATTCGTTCAATTCAAATAAGAGAAAGGGCATCAAGATTTCATTGAAAGGTTCAAAAAAAAAAATTTTTTTTTATTGTATAATAAAAGGTAATTATCTCTCATCTTTTATCACATTCTTCCATATATCATATGATTCAAATTCAGAATTTCTTATTTTCAATAAAAAGAGATAACTTCTTACGTCCAGTAGAAAGGAATAACCTCTTACTTCCAGTAAAAAAAAATGACTACTAAATTATTTAAGTTGTTGACAAAGATACAAAAAACTTGATTACAAATATTCGTAATATTTGCAACTTCAATTTTTCTATTTTAAACTGACAATTATTATTGGATTTACATAATTTAGTTAATAATCTTTATTGAATGGGACTAAATATATCAAATGACTATAAAGTATTTTAATATGCATTAATATCATGTGAAGCATAAATTTAAAATTAATAAAGATAAGGACAAATTCCAATAAATTTATATAATCATAAAAACTTGAAAACTGTTTATTTAATTGATAAGGGATTTCAATTCTCCCCTCAATAACAATATATAATTTTCTTGTACTAAATATAGACACTCTTGTTTATTGAAAAGATGATAATGGAATGCCAACAATCAAAATAGTTTACTTGTTTTTTTTTTTTTTAAAATAAAAACAAATTTTTTTGAGTTAAAGTTATATAACATGTAGAATAAGTATATTATTTTCTGTTATATAAACTAAAATAAATAAAAGAAATGATAGTGAGATACAATTAATGGAAAAATGGATAAATTATCATAGGGCTTGTTGTGTTAATTTTGTTCTCACTTGATGTTAAACGTTGAATATTAATAATGTGTTTTTCTGCTGCGTCACCAGCTAAGAAAAGAGAGTTATACACATACAAAATTTACGTTCCTTGGTTTGCACTTTGAATTTCATACATAACTACAGTCCGGTAGAAATACCATTATGTGTTCTTAGTGTACTCAATCGC